AGTGTAACGAATTCCAAAGGATTCCCAACACTGATAGGAGCCTGTCGATACTATTTCTACAACAATCAATTTAGTGTTGTGGGTAATGAATACTACGTGCGTTATAAACTGTAATATAAATATGCCGATATTCGTTTAAAAAAACACTGTTCACGGTTTTTGAACGAATATAAAAAAACCGGTTTCAAAGGTTATTTAACTGGTCCAGGGGGACCGGAGAGCAGTGGAGGAAAACTGAGAAGGGATGCAGTATGATCTTCATTGGCATTTTTGTCTCCCTCGCCAGTGCGATTGCTTCTGTCATACACCCAAACACCGAAGGAGTGTGTCTGGTTTGCTGTGGGAGACAACTTCGGAGCGTCTCAGTTTTTTTTTGGTTTGAGTTTCTTGTTATTTTTGGGACCCGACCCAAATATGCTGTTGAAAGAATAAGGCAAAGATTAACCTTGCTTAGGTTTCGTTTCGCCTTATACGACGTTTTAATTTTATCTTTCACAGATTCTAACATTTAAAAAAATGAATTTCTTGTTCACCCTTCTTCTTCCACCTTTGGCTGTTCTCCTTGATTTCCCTTCTGTGGTTTCTTGACTCCTTCGCTCCCTGGGATATGTTAGATTTTTAAGGAGATGAGAACCGAATTTATGAAAGAGAAAATATCTTTTTTGATTTGAATTTATTCAACACTCACAGGCGGTGCATGCCGCGAGAGAAGGGAATAAAATTAACGAAACTTTAATCGTATTTTTGTTTCGTTTCTCCATATTCTCAGTTCATTCGTTACAAACGATTTTAGTCTTTCTCTCACCATACACTAAAGCCGCAGGTTTTTTTTCATCAGTTTAAGAAACACAAACACGGCAGGGTGGGATGCTGCGAGAGAGACACATTCAGATATAAGATATCATTTGAATTTCCCATAAATATCAATATCCACCAGACACAGACCCGTCATTATGTTTCTTCCATAAGAGTTTTTGAACTTTATAATGAAAAGTCTAGCGATGGGAAAAAGAACAAGTAGAACACGAAGTAAATATTTTCATGGCTGGTTGTATACGGAATTTACGAGTTGATCTTTCACAATTTTCGAAAACCATCGCTCAGTTTTGCCGAGTCCAACGAGACAAAAACGAACACGACTCAGATCTAAGAAATCAATAGCCATCCCACTGTGGTTCAGATTTATTCAAAACCAGTCGGAATCTCTCTGGACGCGTAGTACCCGGTGATAAGAAGGCTTTGATCAAATGAATCACCTCAGCAACGGCCTAAACGACGACCGCGATGAACGCAGCGGCGCACAACGATCGCAGTAGGCGAATAAGAAAAAAAAGCGGCGGAAATTAAGCCGCGGAAATTTATGTTATAAAAAAGGCCCCGGAAAATTAAAATCTCGTAAATGTGTCCCATATCGATCGACGGAGAAGCGGAAAAAGAAGACCTATAGAGCTATAAAAATGACTACTTTACGATATTTCCCACCCGTACTCCATTCTCATCTCTTTTCTAAACGATCTATCTACCGTCGTCGTGCAACGGAAAGGAAACAAGAAAAAATATGGCACAATTGAGCAGTATATCTTTGAGATTATATCAAATTTTAAGTACGTAAAGTAAGACATGAACTTCCTAACTCATACTGGTTTGGTAAAACCTCATGATTTGAAAAAAAAACTGAAAATTTTCAACAGACTATTCAATACTCATTTTTAAGATATATGGACTCGGTAGAAAGAGAAATATTTCTTTGTTAATAATATAAAAACAATCACATAACATTTCGAGAAACCTAACAATATGTGATGGAGGTATTTCTGCAAACTTATTAGATTTTGTAATAATGTTCACTTGCACTGAATAGGTCCTAAACTGATCAACCAGTTGATGGACCGCCCATGTTGGCTATAAATTTCAGACCTTTTTTCTACTGTGGAACACACCCCTCTTAGTTTATGTTAGACTCAACGTGGTGTGAAACAATTATCTTTAGACTATCTTTAGACAGTCTGGCATTGCTGGGTTGTGCACTGCAGACACGCAACGCCTCTCTGGACAGGAGATATTCAATGAAGATTCAGTGATAATTTAAATTTTATTAATACGATAAAAGGGATAATTATTACATTAGAAATAAATTAAACTTAAGCAAGCAATAGATGAATTACCGTTGGAAGTGAAAGTCCAAAAAGAACGTAAAACAGCTGGTCTTAATATAGCAACCGTCCCTTAATAATAGGCAAGACACACCTTTTTCTTTGTGTGCCTACTTCGCGTCCTACAAAGAAACGCAACCAGACATAAATATCTTCCTTTCTGGGCTTCGTACATTAAATGTTACAATTTAGTCAATTGGTGCACACCAGTTCTATCCCTCGTCATTTTTTTATTCTGTTTGCTTCGGATCGTCCATGCTAGTGGAAACCGGTCCCGCCAAACGAACAAAAAATGTGAATAACAAAAATTGCTAAAAACGAAGTTAAAACCAACCACCAAAAACAGGTTGCGGAAATCGTGCACTCCTTCCACCAAACAATTTTTCGGGAAGGTACACCGAACCGATAAAGCATTTTACGTATCATTTCTTTAATATATTCATACATAAAAACTGCTTAGTGTTCCTTTTTCTCTCTTCTACATGCCTACTTTCTTGCTTTTGGCTCTAGCTTTTGGAAGCCTTAGGTCGAGCATAATATTCTTTACTCATTCGTAGCGCTATTGGCGAAACTCATGACAAATTATGCTAATCAGCAGCGTTGATGAATTAATATATGCAAAGGGCACGTATTATTTTTACCTTTTCAGAGCAGACGCCTCCTTCCATCTTGTTCACTATTCAATTCGATTGGCCTTAGTTCACTATCTACGGCGAAAGTTTAGTTTTGGGGCTCAATGGGGACTTATATCATTACCAAACCCAAATACTAATGAAATGTGAACAACCACAACTGTAACTGCAAATGTGAACAACCACAACTGTAATTTGCAGGTACAGTTGTGGTTGTTCACATTTCATTAGTATTTGGGTTTGGTAATGGTGAGCCCCAAAACTAAACTTTCGCCGTAGATAGTGAACCAATCGAATTGAATAGTGAACAAGATGGAAGGAGGCGTCAAAATCGCTATTACAATGGTGATATATAAATGCATAACTTAGATTATGTGTGTAGTCGACTCTGTCTAAAGAAATGTAAATGATTTAATCTATATTTTGAGTTTCACTCTCCAAACAAAACAAGGGAAATGCTAGGGAAAAGAACCCCAACTATCAAATTAGTTAGGATGAAACAGATGAAAAATAGCAGCAATAATCTTTATTTACGACTGGAATTCACTCGCCGAAAAATACATAGGTACAAGCTTCAATCTGCAGACAGAAACACGACGCGACGAAGCGTTCATTCTGTTAAATAACGAATGTTAATTGGAACAACGAAGTGATTAGTACCGAAATTTGTAATAGTAAAATTAATTTACATTTTTATTTTCATGAAAATTGGTCTGTGAAAACTCCCTTCTCTTCTTTCTATTCTGAATTTTGGTTTTGAACCTCCCGCTATGTCTTTTTAGCTAAGCGTAGGGGACAAGAGAAACCGCACCTGTTCGTTGTTTGAAAAACGATGGCTTGGCAAAAGAAAGAAAAAAAAATGTTTTATTGATAAAGCAGATGCACTAGGTCCTATATTGACCGGAAGGCAGCAATATAAACTACACAGAATTCTAGTACCATTCTAGCCATCTTCGGCAGGTCGAAACAAGTGGCACAAGTTTTCGTATTTAATTCAATTAGAGAAATGAATACATTTGCTTACTGCATGTTGCGAGTTTTACGTAACACTGTAAACAAAGGCGGCTGGGAAGTTGTAAGGGTTGTAAAACTTTATGACACTCAGCGATCCATGCGCTCCACACTGTGCCATCCCAATGGGCCATGGGGAATCCTTCAGATCGGTAAGGCTAACGTTATTGTTGGAAATGACCATAAAAAGTGTAATTTAAATTCTCTCTGTCAAGGGCAATTAATTCGATCATTGGTTGCACTGCATCAGCGATAGTCGGTATTGCGTGTAGTCAGGAGTCAGGAAAAGCCTCAATACGTTGTATTCGTTGGTCGGGATGTTGTAGAGAGTCAAAAAACATAAAGCGAATTGTAAAAATAAAATTACTTACTTTTTCAAGTTCTAGGAGGTGAAACCGTAGCACTTGAATAGCTTGCACCATCTGAAAGAAGAAGAAATAAACAGCACATTAAATGATTGCCTTGTGAAATCTACAGACACTGTTAACTTGTAGAACTGTTGGTGATAATAATTCAATAAGCGCTAACCTTGACCTAATTTCCCCTTGAGCTACTGTAGATAATGAGATCTTCTTCTATGTTATCTACGACCTAATTGGATGTGAAAGGAGTATTCCCACTGCTACTACAGGAATCTCCAGAATAGTGCGGTGGGTAATGCAGTCCACGCATCTCTATTTATCAGCTGTTCTACAACAAATTGATCTAATCTTCTTTAGGTGACTAGTATATCGTTGATACTAATCACATACAAAAAATCACCTCAATTGGGTAAAAGCGATAAATAGAGGTGGACTGCATCACCCACGGGGGGATTGCTGTAATGTGGTCAAAGGATTTTGTTGAAATATAATATGTTCTAGCTAAAAATGCTCAAGGGAACCGAGAAAATTTCCTATCCTATGTTGTTTAAACAAGTTACATAACAATACTGACAGGCCTTATTTTTATTTTAACAAGTTGAAGATTCTACGATGATTTCAATATGCCTACAAACCCAAGTAATCTCCATCTTATTTCCTTCATCTACAACTTCCATATCAGTCATCAGATAGTGCCTCTTGAAAACAAACACAAAATCTCCAAGACGACGCGCTTGTAGTGGAGTGAACAAAATACAAAAAGAAAGATACTAAAAACATGCAATACTTACTAGTGAATCTACTTCGGGGTCCGCCACATAGTAGGGTTTTTCTTGCCGTATCTGCAGGTGCGCAACAAAGAGAAAAAAGAGAAAAGTCATTAATCAATCATAATTATAAGGTGTAATCAAATCCTCTTTCACGACGGGCGTGCAGAGTCTCTAGTTTTTTTTTCTGGCACTACTGTTAAGAGAAAGATAAAAGGCCAACCCTGCAGCGACAATGCCATGATGGGCGAAGGCGACTGGAAGAAGATCGATGCAACGTAGAGGTTTGATTGAAAAGATTAATAAGCGCATGCGTTCGTCACATCGTTTTGATCCAGTATCAAACAGCATGGAGTTAATTCTGCTCATTTTGGATGTTCATAGCTGTTCTAGTTGTTGATGCTGCTGATACTGTCTGGTTGGCTGGCAGAGAAAATCGTTTTCTGATTGACGCAGCATGATCCGCAATAGCTTGCTTGCATTATCGCTTAATCAAAACATTGAATCATAATTTCAATGCAGCTTAAATCCATCCAAAACAAACAATTGGAATGTGTAAATCCCTAGCTTCCATATGCTTCGTGAATTTTGTATTTTAATGTATGAACAACAACAATATTTATGGAATATCAGATTAAAATTCAAATGTCAATAATAAAGGTATTATCGAAGACCGACGTGTTTTGTTTCCGTTGCTGCTTTTCTATCGCGAATTTAATGAAGATCACTGTGGAAGCCTTATTTTTGATAAATATCATGTTCATCTCGAAATTTCAAGAGCGCAAATATCAACTCTCACAAAACATACAACAAGGAAACTTAAACTTCACGTTTGCTGCATGGAGTTCCAATTTCATGAGCGATGTAGCGAGATTTATACTCTAGAAAACGTTAAGTGATAGGGCATATCAGCCATCTTTGGAATCTTCAAGCAATAAACTTAACGGAATTTTTTGGTGAAAATTCGGTGCGGAAAAAAAAACGTTAAATTCCTTTTGGAAATCTGTGAACTTTACATAATCGGGTGCAGTGAAACGGACTAAAATTGGATTTCAACCGATCCCATGGAACTCCGATAGGACATACTGGATGTTTGCCTGCTGCTAAAACTTTTAAATGTGCGATGGAATTGGTTGGAGCGGAGCCCAACCAGCCCAACGATGAAACATTGACGGGATTTCAAGCCCAAACGACGAAGAAGACCCGTAAGATGATAGAAGAAATATGCTACAAACAATAGCTTTGGTGAGATCATTTCATATTATTATCAATATTCATATTAAGACAACCAAGGACACCGCAAGGTTTTTTTTATTCAGGTAGCATGAACACAATTCACGTATCAATTTGATGCATGGTGGGATTAGAGGGAAAACAATGATTGATTTATCCTCGCTAAACAGAGAAAGTCGATTAAAGGGTTAGGCCACTACATGTAGCGGGTTAAAAAAATTGATTTTTTTCTTGGTCTTGATAGTTTAGATAGAGTCTAAAAATACGGGACAGTTGGTTTTATACCAGGTAACACAAATTTATCGAGGGAATTGATAATTCAAATAATGGTACCAAAATAAATATGATAGCCTATGTTGGCAAGTTGATTAATTTTGGTTTCCTCCCTAGATATTCTACTTGTTTAGTACTGAGCTTTGTATCAAATTAGTTAATTTAACGGACGTATCAATCATTTCAAGATTTCGCGACCGTACCGAACAAATTCTAAACTACATAAGCTCAAAAAACATTTGGCAAGCTCTACCAAATTGCGAATCACTTCTGCGTAAAAGCTCCGTAGACGTAGGCGAGTTGAATCCGACCGCCGCGAAAAGTTAAACATGCATCAATATCACTTAAGGAAAGATCGATTTTACAGTCTCGTAGGGCTTAGTTCATAGATTAACAAACTGGAGCAGGTTTTTTAATATAAAATTACACGTTTAACGATCAGTAATTCAATTAATTAAAGTTCATGTAAGTTTATGCTTTCCGTTGGAAACTCAATTAATGTCAATTGAAGTATTCATTGTTCAAAAACACAGATGCATGTCAAGTTCAATGCAAATTAATGGAGTTGTATTGTTGTATTGCTACATATATGTTTCAACTAACCCTAGAATCTGCCAAAAGTAAATTTACAAAAAAAAATGCCTGTGTGATTTACATCAAAGATGAATTTTGAATAAGGAGCTCCCTTAGCTCAGTCGATTAAGGCACAGCTATAAAGCAAGACCATGCTGGAGGCGGCAGGTTTCGATTCCTGGTACGGACAACGAATTTTTCGATTTGGAAACTTTCTGAGCCTGGGCTCTAGGCCCAAGGAAAAGGCTTAGCAGCTCTCAAACTGTGGATGTGCTAACACTAAGTTGAGTTGAGAGTGGGCGTAAAAGTCCCAGTAAGGGCGTATTGAAAGCCAAAAAGAAGATGAATTACGTCACGTGTAAAATAGTAATTTTTAAGTATGTGAGTACAGCGGCGCCAGTGGTGTAGTGGTAAGTATTAGTGATTGACTCTCACCCCAGCAGGCCTGGGTTCAACCCCAGGCGGTGTCGGTGGGATGTTCTGAGGCATAACATCTCTGATCACGCCCTTTCTTCAGAAGGGAAGTAAAGCCGTTTGTCCCCGGTTCATGAGTTGATGGGTCGATAGGTAGGGTCAAGGTGTGGGAGGTGCCTCCCTTGCGTCGGTAGCATTGGTGCTCAGCACGGAAAAAAGATCGACGGAAAACAAATCATGGAAAAAAAGTATGTGGGTTGGTTTCGAGGATTTTAGTGTAATCAATAAAATCTGCGCTTCTAGTGTAGACCGCACTCCTGCACCAACGCCTCTGAAATCAACTTTTGGAAAATGAAGTACTACAAAAAATCTGGAATGGATGATTATTGTTCTCCTCTTTCTTCTCTCAATATACCGAAGTAACAGTTTTGGTTTTATGAGAGTATTGTAGACCGTTATTCAGACTTGTAGAATGCTTTAAAAGTTTAATAAAACTTGCAATGTTGCTTGGGTACTATTCTTTTAAGCACTTCCTACTCGGAAATATCAACCTCTTTGTGTTGCGTTACGAATTCAGAAGATTTTCATAAGAAATGTACTGCATTTTTAATGTCTCACCACATGTACAGATTCTGTAAGGTGGTCGTAGGAAGGCTTTTTAAACATATATATTTTTTTAATTTAATGTTAGCTAGCTTTTCGAACATAGTGTATTTAAGCTTGTGAAGGTTTTATACGAAAATATTCATTCTGGACAAACTTGCCTGAACGCTACATTTCATTATAAGATCTGTAACTACATTTTTTTTAATGAAATACAGCTGTGATTCACTCGCTAGTTAGGTGCTCGCTAGTTGGACCATGGTTCAACTAAAAAGCAACTGTATTTCAAAACTTCATGTCAAATTGAATCTTCTTCAAGGAATGAGCAAACGCATTTTTTTACGTTCTACAAGAAAACAGAAAATAAACTGACGCCCACCAATACATTTTCTTTCATTCACTGTAATTAAGTCCGCTTTCCGGGATTTTTTAACAACGACAACAAACGATGCGCATACCACTGAATAAATTGTAGTCATGTGATGTGCCAGTTGACCCAACTAGCGAATCGAATTAGTTGGTTGGGTCGAGGTGGTGGCCCAACCGGCTTCTACATGCCACGAAAATTGATGTTCAAATAATAATAAATTCAAAGAACTGTTCATATAGTTGTAATTAAAGTTAACATAAAACTTATTCTGTACATTTAAAATTTTGGGCATTATTTTCGGAAGAAGCAAGACAAAAAAACAATATTCAAATGATTTTATTACCGTCACCTTGTACGCTACGTCGTGCAAACATGAACACAAACGTCCTTGTGTCTTCGATTTCAGCACCAATGCTCGGTCCTATTAGATTACCCAGAAATAATAAACGGTTAATTAGAGTGTTTATGTGCGCGTGCGATCTCCTGAGAGAACACGTGACAACTGTCAAAAACACTTTCGTCCGTTTGTGAGAATCGTAAATTTTATACAGGGGTTGCCAAAGATCGACAAAAAAGAGAGATCTCTCCCTTTTCCGTATCATCCCGTGCAGAATAATTATACCGGAGCGCTAACCTACCATTAAACCGTTCCAGAGGTTTATAGCCATGTTATTACCAAATCTACACAAAATAAACATATTTCCATGGCAGACGCTGTGGCCATCGCTTCACTTTTGTTTCAACCTATCGATCATTATAAAAATATAAAAAAAACAGGCGATGTGCGCGATTGGACTGAAGGTTGCGTTGAAGTTATGATTGAATGATGATCAGTCATTATGGCCACTCGCAAGGCCCTATTATAGCTGAAGAATTCCGAAGCTATGCTGATGCGCTCTGCCATATTATAATATTCTTCTTTTTGAATTGTTCAGCTCAGTTAGCGGAAGACAACCAAATCAAAGAGGTTTCATTTTTACTGACTGATGACGAGAGGAAGAGAGAAAATGCCACGCGTTGAATGGACCAGAAAGAGAAGCCAACGAAAACAACTCTCTTGAGATAATTTATGGTTGTTGTTGATAAATATTGTAAAATCTGCTAAAAATCGTTATAATTTATGGTTTACTTTAATTTTTTGTTTGCACCAGAAGGGTCTGATGCTAAATCCCGAGACAGTTTGACTGACAGATGTATCTCTTTCATCACTGTGAGGCTAGTGGTTTATGATATTCAAGTCAAATTCAATGAAAAAAGTCGTATTCTAGCGTGATCGTGTGAAAATGATAACTTAGATGATTACAATTCAATCCTACACCGGAGGAAACTTGATTTGTTTTCCGTCGATCTTGTTTTCCGTGCTGAGCACCAATGCTACCGACACCAGGGAGGCAGCTACCACACCCTACCTATCGACCCATAAACTCAAGGACCGGGGACCAAAAGCTATACTTCCCTTCCGAAGGAAGGCGTGATCAGAGATGTTATGCCTCAGAGGCAATCACGCTTACCACTACACCATTGGCGCCGCTAGGAGGAAACTACGTTATTGATTATAATTAATGGCGAAAACGGATGAAAACAACTAAGAAGAGCTAGTCTAAGAAAC